TTTCTACACTTTAAATTCTATGGTGAATCTTGTTTTTTGTTTTAATATTGTATTTTGATCAAAAGATTTTTTAAAATACAAATTCCCCCCCCCCCCCTCCTTGGTTAGCCTTGGGACTACTTCAGGGCTTAACATCCCTAACAAACTTTCAAGTAGTATTAGAGCGGGATTCATAAAATCTATTTTTTAAAAACTTTTGAATTTTGATCAATGGCTAACTTTGGTAATCATAATATAATGGAAGGATATTCTATTATATGACCACCTTTGTTTGATAATATTCCTTTTGATTTTTGAAAAACTCGCATGTCTAAATTTTTACAATCGCTTGATATTCGTATATGGATGCTTGTTAAAGAAGGTTATACATCACCTTCTTATGAAGATAATGGAATTAAAACTGAAGTTCCTTTTTCTAAATAGAATTTTGATGAAAGAGATTTAGCACAACTTGTGCAAAATAGTTGAACTATTTTTTCTTTTCTTTGAAATCTGAAGATTATATGTGTGTTTAAACTTGTGTGACTGGTAAACAAATTTGGGATATATTGTGTGTAATTTATGAAGGAACTAATGAAGTTAAACAATCTAGGTTGAATATTTTGTTGCATGACTATGAGCTTTTTTGTTTAAAACCTTTTGATTCAATTTCTAACATGTATATAAGGTTTACTCAAATTGTCACCTCATTGCATGCTTTATGAAGAGAGCTAACTAATTATGAAAGAGTCAATAAAATTTTGAGATGCTTGCCTTCTTCTTTTGATACAAAGATCACCGTAATTATTGATTCTAAAGATTTAAATACTTATTCTGTTGATAATTTACTTGGATCAATATTGCTTACAAGCAAGGGATGAATCAAAGAAAGCTTGATGTAGGTGAGAAAAAGAAGGATAAAACTATGACACTAATGACCAACAATGCTTAATGTTATGCTTCTCGTTTGATGACTAACATTTTACTCCATAAAGCATTACAAATGTCTATTGAGAGAATCAAGATAATATTTCTAGATTTTTCGTTGGATAGACTGCTAGAAATTTGCACCATAAAGCATTCTAGATCAACTTCATCTCTAGCCTTCTTAACAAGAAGAATATGATCAACAAAATGTACACCATGGTATAATGACTTGCACCAAGAACATCTATGACCAAATAAAAACTAAATGGGCTACATACAGTGGATTTCCAGCAACTTAGCGAGGAACATTTGCGATGGAGGAAATTGACAAAGGTAAACGTCGGCGATGGAGGAGAACGTCAATGATGGAGGTGGCGTTCAACAACATAGGCGAACATCGGCAACGGAGATAAGTAACTGAGAGAGAACGAGTAGGAGTGAAATCATAAAAACACGATCGCGAAACGAGAAATAGGGCTCTTTCCAGTGGTATTTTCCGGCTCCTTTTCCGATGGTGTTTTTTTGTGTGCAATTTTTGTCCATAATATACGTTAGGTTTAAGCAAGCTGGCGATATTTCTACCGGAAATTCCACTTGTCATTTTCGGCATGTTTTGCACCAGAAGTAACCTCTATCTTTACAAAGACCAATGGTTTTTCCGCCTGTTGTTTTTCAGCGGTCAATCCGCCAAAAAATCCAGCATTAAGTTACGGTGGAATATCCACTGGTTAAACTATCGCTTCTATTGACGGATGAAATTTCATCGGCAAACAAAGATTTTCTTGTAATGCTAGTTACATCCTTCTCTGCCTCCCAAGGCCTTTTCTCTGACATCCATCTATACATTCACTTAAATCATTGTCACATAAGCTACTTTATATTTTTTATTAAACATTTTTTATAAAAGATTTAATACTAAATAGTAGCAACAATAATAATATAAACGAAGTAAAGTATAGAGTACTTACAATGCTTTAGTAAACCAAATATTATTCAACTTCAAAACTAGTAATACAAACTGATACCCTTCTCTTCAGTTTACACATATTTATATAGGAGAATTTCTTAGAAGAGAAGCAAATTCGTACATAGACAAACTAGTACAATAATTAAAATAAAAGCTATATTCTTTCTCCATTAAGGGGTAGTGGAAGACTGATGTCCCACGTTGGAGAATATGCCACGAAATAAAGACTCTATTATTGATTCCATTAAGAGGCTTTATTCTAAAAAGTCATCTGGGTCTTCGGTTAAAGGAGCTTTGCCATGACAGTGACTGGGTCCTGCTTCTTCATGCTTATCCCATGTGTCAGGAATTGTGTCGTTCGAATGTTGGGACGTCATATCTTCATCATCAGGAAATAGTTAATTCATCTGGTCCCAATAAGCCTTTTGTAACCTTACCTTAATTTGGTGTGGAGACTCATGAGGGTATCTTTGTTTAAGGGTTTTTTGCAATTTTTTTAAAGAGAATTCTGCATTCATAGGTTGTCGTTGATTTTTAATAAGGTTATTTTGAATAACCTTATCAATTTGTTTCTTTTTATCGTCAACGATAATGGCAGACCACCATTTTACTGAAAAATTACGCATAAGATTTTTTAGATTTAGCAAATCGATATTTATTTCAATGTTCCAGGACCAAATCAAAGGAATTTGATCTTGTGCAAAAAAGTGGAATTCACCCATTCCATCAATAAAATCTTCGGTTTTAATGATTTGAAGATGAGGAGAAGAATCTAGCCAATAGTTATAACGTTGTTGTAATTCGGGTGGAAGAATAGAGATAATGGCTCCTTTAGTTTCCCACCATTTATAAAACCATAAAGGAATTGGATTTTCAAGGATCTCATGATTGAGGATGAACATCCATGAATGAGAATGAGTGGGATTTAGAACATAAAAAGCTTTGTGTATAGCTTGCACATAGGTCCAATAATTGAAAGAGCATGTTTTTAAATTTCCATCAGGGAGTGAAATATCAAATTTTTGAATTTGAAATGGAGTGATTCCCCAATCTTTTGGGTGAATTAGGTGAGGATATTTGCTCGGCTGTAGGTAATATTGCGTTTATCATCATAGTGTTGTTTAACTTCGATGCATTGAAGGTAAATAAGGATAGATTCATATGTTTCTCTATCATAATTAGAGTCTTGGAGAAGGGGATTGGTGTTTAGATATTTTTTAAAGATAATCCATGGTGAAGTTATGTCATTATCTTCACTATATAGATATAATAAATGTTCAACACTCAGTTTGAGTATTGGTTCGAACATATCTGAAGTTTGCTGAGTAGTTGATTGAGTTTTCTCTGGAATTTTCTCTGATTGTTTCTCTAACTGTGTAGGCTCTGATACCAAATTGCGGAAAATAGTAGAAAAATAGTAGCAACAATAAAAATATAAACGAAGTAAAGTATAGAGAACTTACAATGCTTTAGCAAACCAAATATTATTCAACTTCAAAACTAGTAATACAAACTGATACCCTTCTCTTCAGTTTACACATATTTATATAGGAGAATTTCTTAGAAGAGAAGCAAACTCGTATTTAGACAACCTTGATAAAAAACTAGATCTATTAAAGGATACAATAGAACAATCTAAAAATAGTGATAAAAGAATTGGTTCGTTTCACTTCAGGACTTTGGAATTCTACTCAAAAGAATTACTCTACTATCATTTCTATTCAAAGAAGTATTGAATTTGCTGATAAATTTCCTGATAAAATATTAGACAAAAAATAGCTCCAACGATTTCTTGGAGCCCTAAATTATATATATATATATGAAATAATAATAATAAATAAAAAATTAAAAACTAACTTGCATTATTTCAATCGTGTTCACTTTCCTTGACCTCTTAAAAACTATTACTATCTTACCAAGAGAAAATTTAATGTGTTTCAACTATTAAATTGTACATTAATTCAAAATGATTTGAGGTAGCTTGTTTTAATCTGTTGGTTAAAAATTTTAGCTACAAAAAAAAAATTTGAGTTCAGAATTTACGTATATGATATTTTTATGAATTTATCTTTAATTAATAAAATAGTCAAAATAAAACTAAAAATAGTTGAGAAACACATTCCTATTACTCCAGTGCCACCTTCACGAACCTACAGTATAAAAAGCATCATTGCTTGCATACGTCATTCTTGTTTAACATCGTTCTTATCTTAGTGAAAGAAGAAATTTGCTAGGAAATGAACAGAAAAAATGCTAATCGCAACAAAAAATATGCAATAAGAAGGCTGAGATTTTTAATGAAAATTTCAAATATCATAGAAAAAAATTATGTCAAAATGTTCTCATAAAATTTTTATGAAGATGATTTTTAAAATTACTAGATTTATTTGAGCTGTGTAATAAAATTCTTTATACATTTTACATTTCAAAACAAATCCATTCATCCTGATCAAAATTCACTGATGATATCCTGAGTTAATTTTTTTCCAATACCAAATGGGTAAGAGGCCTGGCCAGCAATATTTTCAAAATCCGGCATAGCTGCCTACACCAGAAAATACCGAAGTTCTTTAATGTAATTCGACATTGTTTATGAAAGTAGGGAACAAGCAGGTTCAATAATTTTATATTTAATCCATACTGTCCTTTTTAACAATTGCTGTCTTTCACTCAGCAAAATTAGAATTAATAAACAGAAAAAGTTTCACAGGTAAGGAAAAAAACTCATATTAAAATGATTTTTTTTTTCGTTTTCCTTCCCAAAATCAAAATTAATAAAATAAAAAACCATAGCTAAGGGAAAATTGTTATAGATCTATCCCTGTATAGGGTTATTTGTACGCCTCAATCAAGAAGAATGGGTCTTACATTTTGATCAGCTATAAATACAAGAATAAGGCTTCATTTGGGGCGGCTTTCTTGTTGCTTCTTAAAGTAGCTTTCTAGTACAATTTTTTTTATTTTTATACTAAAAAGTTTCTTTAAGAAGCAATAAAAAAGTCATCACAAACAAAGCCTAAATAAAATCCTTTATGAATGCTTTTAAGGAATGAAACATAATTCATTTAATTAATTGAACAAACATTTAAAGATAGAACGAAAAAACACACTTAAAGAAAAAAAAACAGATTTCTCAACACAAAATGAAAAGCCTTTGAACAATCACCGGACGATTAAAAATACAAATGAAAGTTTTTCAACAACCTCAAAATTTACATACGCAAAAGACAAATGGCATAAGTTACATCTGCCAATACAAAAATAATATAAGTTCATCTGCCAAAGAATTTTATCATAGTGGAAGAAATATATTGAACAAATCTTTTGGACGAAGCCTCTTATCTCAGGGAAAAATAAGTGATTTTAGTGTTATAAAAGTATCTCATTTTGTCACTAGGCCTTAGGATCTCCAAGCTCGACATCCTTTGTAGATGAATTTTCAATTCCCTCTCTCAAAAGACGGATCTCCTCCTCAGTTAGGCTTGTTTTGGACAATGAAATCCTAGCTTGTGCCTTCTTCTCTAACTCAACTGCCCAGCTATAGACGATCATGCCAATGATCGCAAGAACCATCCCCAATATGTTTTTAAGGCTCAGTTGTGAATCAAATAGTAACCACCCAAGAGTAAGCACACAAACTGTTTTCATATGGCCCAAAACCTGGAATGATACAGCCGAGAAACGGCCTATGCAGAGGTATTGACTAATGTTACAGAAGACAGCAAGAGTACATGAGAGAAGAATGAAGAACTGCGAATTGAAAATGTGGTTAACATTATGTTTGTTACATTCAAACAGGAGCATAGATATGAGATGTTACTAATGAAGTGAAGAACTTACAAGAGAGACTGAAGACAACTTGTAGTTGAGAATGAATTTACCATTAAGATAATAATCAATGAACGGACCAAGAATTACAAGAGAAAGAGCTTGTATTGGAGCTGTTTTGCTCAGAAGTTCAAATGATCCAATAGAATATTTTTTCTGTAAAGAGCCAATCGACTGCAAAATGAAAGAACAAATTAATGACTAGCAACCTTGTAACACAAGAAAGACAAGATAATCTCGATAATGATGTATGATTCTCAAGAAACAGTTAAGTAAATTATGTCTGCAAGGCGTGTTAATAAAAACAAAAAAATATATCTTTAATTTCTTACAGTTTCATCACAAGAACAAACAACAACATCAAATATTTATCTCACTACATGGGGTCGGCTACAAGAATCATTTTTCTCCATTATGTCATGTTACGAGTCAAATATTCATTTAGATCTAATAAACAAAGGTCATTTCTAATATTTTTTAAAGAAGTCTTTTTAGATCTACCTCTGTCTTTCTTAACATAAGCCAAATCTAATACATCTACTCTCCAAAACGGGTCATCGGAAGGCCGCCGTTTTAAGTAACGAAACCATCTAAGACTACTCTCTAATCTTATCTTCCATTGGAGCTACTCCAACCTTTAACGTATATGCTCATTTTGTATCCTGTCTCTAAGAGTAAAGCCACTCATCCACCTGAGCATCCTCATCCCTACAACACTCAACTTAATATTGTGTTTCTTTTTTAATGGCCAACAATTTGCACCATAAAGCATTGCAGGTCTCAACATCTTATAGAATTTTCTCCTAAGTTTCAGGGGGGCTTTTCTATCACACAATAACCCCGATAAATTCCTCCACTTCAGCCATTCAACTTGAATTATACTAATAATATCCATATCTATTTCACCATCACTCATAATAATAGACCCAAGATATTTAAAACGTGTATTCTTATTAATGGTTTAATCACTCAATCGCAATACCCCCACTAGATTTATCATTACTGAAATTACACTCCATATATTCAGCTTCGAATCTACCCAAATGAAAACCTTTAGACTGTATGGTTGACCTCCATAATCTAAGTTTACATTCAACTCCCTCACTAATCTTATCAATAAGAAGAATAACATCAGCAAAAAGCATAAACTAGGGTACAACCTCTTACAAATGTCTAGTGAGAACATTCATGACCAAAGCAAAAAGATATAGGCTTAAGCTGATTTTTTATGTAATCCAACTGAAATAGGAAAATACTTGGTCAAATCACCTTGTGCTTGAACACAAGTAACAACTCCTGCATATATATCCTTAATGACTTGAATATAAGCATTATTAATCCCTTTCTTTTCTAGAACTCTCCATGGCACATTTCTTGGAACTTTATCATATGTATTCTCTAAATCAATAGATATCATATGTAGATCCTCCTAATTCTCTCTATACTTCTCCATCAAATCTCTTAATAAATGCATAGCTTCCATGGCATACCTATCCAATCCAAATTGATTTTGAGAAACGTAAGTTTCACGTCCTAACATATTCTCCATAACTCTCTCCCATAGTTTTAAAGTATAACACATAAACTTAATTTTTCTATCATTCAAATAATCTTTTACATCATCTTTATTCTTAAAAATTAAAACCAATGCACTCATTCTCCACACATCTGGCATCTTTTAGTCATCAAAATAATGTTAAAAAGTTTAGTAAGCCATGAAATTCCTTCATTTCCTAAACATTTCCACACTGGGAATATCATCAGGTCCAACAACTTTCCACATTTATTTTTTTTTAAGTCTCTCTAACTTCGGTTTAACTAATATGCTGATAAAATTAAAAATCTTTATTTTCATTTAGGGTGCTAAGGTCACTAAAGTCAATCTTCTTCTCACAATCTTCATTAATAAGTTTAACAAAATATCTCATTCACCTTTATTGAATATCCTCTTCTAATAAAAGCACTTTTTTATCTTCATCATTAATTCACTTTACTTGGAACTAATATATATATATATATATATATATATATATATATATATCGTCCGTCTAAGTATTTAATCTATTATATAAATCATTAAAAGCTAAAATCTATGCTTCACATATTGCTTTGCTAGACTCCTTATGCCCTCTTTAAATATTTCTCAATTATCAGAGTTTTTACATCTAAACAAATGTTTATATCAAATTTTCTTGTTTTTGAAATTTTCTTGCACATTTTGATTCCACCACTAACTATTTTTTACTATTATGAGATTTTTTCTTTGATACTTCAAATACATCCTTTGCAACATTATTACTATCACTAGCTACTTTTTCTCACATAACATTAGCTTCCTAATGCATAGATAAAATATTAAGATCTAAAATTTTATTCTAAAAAATATTTTAGTTAATATTCTTTCAATATCCCATTTAATCCAAAAACAACATTTTACTTTATTTTTTTATATTCTATCTTTTCATCTTAAAGTCCAAAACTAATAAGCAATGTTGAGTACAAAAATATTCATTCGGAATAACTATACAATGTTTGTAATCTGAACAATTTATTCTTCTTATAAGAAAATAATCAATATTATTTAATGCTAGTTATTTGGTTATGAGGGTTATTGGTGTTTTATTTATACGTTGTAGTTTTCTTCCTAAGAGCTTGCTAGCGGCATCTAGGTTGATTAGGAAAGTCGAATAATATATCACTTGTATCTTTCATTATTGCTAAAGTATTAATAAAAAAAATCAGCCACTATCTTTGATTTCTTGCACTTCTTATTGTTTATTGTGTTGTTTTCAATTCCAAATCGTATCAAATTGATATCAGAGCAATTGTTTGGGACCTATGGAAGAAAAAACGGTCGATGTGTTGAAAGGCAAAGTGGAGCAAATCAAATCCTGGTTGGTGGAGAAGTTCTCAACCATCGAAGAATGGCTTTCATCCATGGAAGAAAGGCTCTCATAGATATACAACCGCTTTAAAAACTTGGAAGATATGAAGAATAAAATTATCAAGATATAGTCAAAAGCTTCACCGACGATTCGTAGGGCTGAAAAAAATCTAGAAGAGATGATGAGGAAGCTCATGGAGATGCGATCCAAAACCCCACTGATGGTTCCAATTGCTAACCCTAACTAAGATTAGACCAGGATTCTCTTGGCCGAATCTAAGGGAAAGGAGATCGGACGGAAAGGGTTCGACGAGGAGAGTTTCTTCCAATAAGTGTCACCTCTTAGGGCTCCGATAAAGGGTGGGGTGGATCAGGGTTTCCAAAAGGAGGGACAACAATGAGGGAATTATGTGGTGTAGGTGGTGGGTTAGCCGACCATTATGGGAGGCATTTCAAACAAAGAGACTGGGCGAGCGAAGATGGAGGGGGTCTAGCTGAACCATGGGATCAGGTTATGTAAGAACAAATGGAAGAAAGGTTGGAGTCCCACCCTCGATACATGGAGGAAACATGGAGGGATCATGACAACCACTACATTGGAGGAGGAAGAAGCTATTGGGGCGGTGACAGTCCTAGGATAAGGAAGTTGAGGATGTCAATATTTTAATGGGAGGATGTTAATGGGTGTATCGAGTGGAGATGTATTTTATGTTGAATGATTGAATGAACACTTGTATGGCTATGTATGGAGGGGAAGCCCTAGCTTGGTTCTAGTGGACGATAGTATGGAATGAGATAGTAGTAGTTTAATTACAATTAAGCAAACCACTCCCTTTTGGGATTGACATTCTTCTCGATCACTTTATTACTTAATTGACATATATACTTGCGTATCTAGTAGACTTTCATTAATTTTTATATCAAATAAAATCTAAGCATATTCATATTATATGTTAGCTCTGTGTAGCATACCGTTGACTGCATAGCCCTCATCAAGTTTTTGACATCGTTCCTTGAGAAGTAATGTACATATTGCAATTCTAAATTATATTATTGAACTAGATGCATATTTAGACCTACTTGTATGATATATCTTTTATTTTATTGTTTGATTAAAATTTTAAAAAAGACAGAAAAAGTATTTTGTTTATTAATTAATTTGTGATCTTTATTTTATTTTGTTAAATCATTGTTGCATGCTTAGTAGATCCAGTAAAGAGTCCTTATTTGATTCGGAGATAAAAATGACTCTTACAAAAATTTGAAAATATAAAAATATTTTAGAGATATCTGAACCAGTATAAGATCATGATCATTCTACACCTCTTAGAGAATATACTAACCCAGTAGTAGACGGAATCCACAAGAGTATCAAAAGACCTACTATTCATGCCAATAACTTTGAACTGAAACTTGCAATAATTTAAATGATTCAAAATTTTTAGTTTGGGGGAACACTTGCAGAGGATGACAACCTATACTTACCAAGCTTCTTAAAAATTTGTATAACGTTTAAGTATAATGGTGTCAATGACGATGCTATTAAACTTATATTATTTTTATTTTCTCTAAGGGATAAAGCTAAAATATGGTTGAATTAATTGCTCCAGTCTCTATAACCACTTGGAATGGGTTGGTACATAAATTCCTAGCTAAGTGTTTCCCACCTTAAAAAATTATCAAACTTAAGAATGATTTTACAATACATCTTTTGTCTAATTTGAAAAGGTATTAATTTATGAAAGTTAGGATAGATTTAAGAAAATGCTTAGGAAATGCCCTCATTATAGTTTACCCAATTGGTTGGTTATTTAAACTTTTTATAATAGATTGGTAGGATCCCTTAAGTTGATCATAGATGTAGCAGCTGAAGAATCTTTGATGTCTAATCCATTTAAGAAAGCATATGAATTAATTGAGAAAATGGCTAAAAGTAATTTTCATTGACCTAATGATAGAGTGAATCCTAATAGAGTAGCATGTGTATGAAATAAATGCATTATCTATTTTGACTGCTTAGGTAGCTGCAATTTCTAAGAATCTAGATACTATTTAAGTTAGAATTGGAACACATAGGCATAATACTTGCACCAATCCTATTGTAGATTATAATCACGTGAGTGCTATAACGCCCACCATTAGAGCGTCGTAGCATTGCTCCTGAGGCCTTGATCAAAAGAATCAGTTTGGGAATATAAAGGCACATTTGAAAGATATAGCAATGCAAATGAGAATTCAATGGCAGGATCTTAGCCCTTACAAAAAAAAGAAAATCAGATAGGGCAACTTG